AAAAAAAAAAAACCACAAAAAAAACAACAACCAGGAATGAAAGTCAGGTCACCTCCGTACGGTGGAGAGTGAAGCGAGTCCTTCAACGACCCTGAGGACCAATCCCAAAGAAAGATGCTGTTACATCTGTGAGCAAATAAAAAATTCTAACTGTGCCGACAGAGCCGTGAGGGAGGGAATGCCTGACCGCCATGACAGTAGCCTCTATTTGCAAAGAAGGAGAAGGGACAAATGTCGTGTGTACACCCAAACGATGAAATGGATGATAACTTTTAGTTCAGGGTGTAAATTCCAGAATTCATTCACACTGAGAACTACAAGATCAGTCGTAAACGGTTGCAACTGATTATAGTATTGTAACAAATTGTAACTGTTTTAGACGCCTATTCTCAATCTGTATTGTATAAGAGAGGGGTGGTGGAAGAAGGGGGAGGTGGGTGCCCCAGCCTTGTCTTTCAAGAGCCACCTGGACCAGACCAGACAGAGATCTATAACATCCCAGCTGACGGATTTAAATACTCGACAAAAAAGATTTCATCGCGTGGGAATCGAACTCAGTTCTATTAAGATCTGTCTTCAACGGAGTAGGATGCAACCACGACACTACACACGCCTATGACAACGAGAAGAAATCGGACTCTGCGGGGAAGTACAGACTCCAAACCCCTCCACATTCTCCGGTAAACCGATAAGACAACCAGGCTACAAGACAAGAAAGGATCGGGTTTAAGGTAATCTCAGATAATCGTGGCACCACCCCCCACCCCCACCCCGCAAATCCCCAAAACAGGCAGGTAGGTACACGTCTCCTAAATTACGTCCAAGAATGTTGCCCTCAGAGAATGGGGTAATCGTACGAGGTAGGCAATCCGTTACTCTCGAGGCAATAACACGTCCCACAATGAATGACTCACAGACACAAATATGCCACATTCTCATTACGTTAAACACTTGTAAAGTTCAACTCTGATCCAACTGAAATTTCTCATAAGCCACACTGATTCAAAAGGTGTGCAAAAGCGTCGCCGTGATTTTACGAATGAAGAAACAAAACAGAAATTATCTTCCAACAGCACGATTGAGTGTGTATATCCTCAAATGTGTTTTGTCTGCACCAACACGCGCGTGTGTGTGTATCCAGGAATGTGTTTCGTTTTCAGTAACACACGTTTGTGTGTATCCCCGAAAATGTTTTGTCTACAGTAACACGCGCGTGTGTCCCCGGAAAGTGTAGGTCATGTCTTCCCATCAACGACTGTGTTGTGTCACAGTGACGTCATGGGGTATACTCAGGTGACAGACGCTGGGAGGAGGAGAAGAAGACCTCAACACGGCCGGCCAAACGATGGTATGTCTTTGTTTGCTCAAAGTCGAGCGGGGACACGTGACTTAGGGGGAGTTAAAACGGGGTCCAAAAACGCAAATGTTATATCTATAGAGAGGAAATAGATATATATAGTCGGGAGATAGACGTGATGGAAAAGGAGGGTGGGCGGCGGGGGAGG